ATGGCTGAAAGGGCGAGCATGTTTGGTGTGACGGTCAGATTGCGAGTAGAGCGCCCTAACCACCTGGCCATGCCGGGCCTGATACTACAAGTTATAGTAACTGTGTAAACGTTGTTCACACATTTTCATTCCAGTCTTCATCCAAGAGTTATTACGTTGAGATAACGACTACATCAGACTGAGAGGGATCGGTAAAAAATGAGATAACGATTACATCAGACTAAGGGGGATCGGTAAAAAACAAACAAACGTTCTGGAGACTGAAGTTAGCATAGAAATATTTTAAGTTATCTAGAAATGAGCCATAGTTACAGGAACAAACCTATGAATCCATTTGGTAAAACTCTAAAGCAAATTCTAGATGTGGAATGTTGCTCAATGAATGGGTGCTTGTTTTTATAAGCAACAAATCTTTGACAGAGTAGTTTTGTAACATAGTTTTACGAGAAAATACTGGTACAATTTTTAAACAGGTTCATGTATTTATAGGTACTATGTATTTCTAGCATATTTTTTTCACCCTTATTAGTACAATTTTCTTCTTCATAAAACAGGTTTCGTTATTACCGTTTGTCAGACATCATAAGAACTTTTTGCTAGAATTCTGCGGGAGGGAGGGGGGGTGAAGCGTAGAAATGAAGGAAAGTTTTCAACTACTGAATTATGATGCAACGGACTCGTACATGTTGTTCTAACTATGATTTAATGGTACACTTGTTGACTTCATGTTTTTGGAACTAAGTTTCAAAGAGTGTCAAAGATTTTTGTGAATAGTGCCTTATTGACACATACCTATGTTGGTCCAGATAATATTCTCGAAAATTTCTATTAAATTTGAGAAAAACATTTTAAAACTGCTGTTGACTCAAAAGGATAACTACGTAATATTGTGTTGGCTTAAGGAACACCTTTGTAAACCCTCTGTTGGCTTAAGGTATACTTTGCATAAGACTTCTGTTTGTTTCTGGTATATCTATGTGAAACTGCAGTTGACTTAAAAAATACCTATATGAATTTATGTTAGCTTAAGGAATACCAGTACAAAACTTTTGTTGATTTAATGGATATCTACACAAATCCTCTACTGAATTAAACAATACTTATGTGAAATTTTTACTGGTTTAAAGAATACTTGTATAATTCTTGGTTTACTTAAAGAATACACATGTAAGTAATATACTGGATTAAACAACGTCTATTCAAAAACCTCTATTAGGTTAAAGAATGTCTATGTAAAACCCCCCTTCCTCAGAGCATGGAGTGTACTAAGTAATCCCACATAAGAACCCCCAACCCCTGGGTTATAAATCTGAAATATGGGATTAGCGGTTTTAAAAGAAAAAGGTGGAACATGACCCCAGTTGTGAGGAAGAAATATGGTTTCATGATGTTCAAGGTTATCTTCTATCTTCTGTTCCTCACATTGAAGATCCAGATCTATGTTTTCTGTGGAAATGTCATCTTCATCACAATTCTGTTTGTAGGACAGGGTTAAAGGTGAGTTGTCTGGAACAGTGGTTAAACCATACAAGTTGGAGAATCGTGGAATGCAGAACACTGGTAATTTACTAGAAAACATTGACCTGGTTGTTTCTGCAGTTAAGGCTTTCTTTGTTATACTAACAACATTAAGGTTTTCTATCAGATTTCCTGGAGATACTGTGTTATGAATGACAGGTGTAGGGGTGGTGCAAGTTGTGTGGATGGTGGTGGTGGTAGGAGTGTTGCTCACTTGAAAAGACTGCCATGGAGTATTCTGGGAGTGGCTTGCTGTACTGTGTGTTGTTAAAGTAGGAAATAGCCCACATTTCAGAGCAGTTGGAGCTGGATCAGAAGATGCTGGTGCTGCCACCTGGGAAGGAATTATAATAGTGTTCATGAACTATCAAAGTCTCATTTTTTATTACTCAAATTCTGAATGTCTTATTTTGCACTTCTTTACTAACATTTGTTTCAACTTAAATGTTCAGATTATTTTAATTTGCTCTCTAACTGGCTTAAAATATTTCTATAATCACAATTAAGATGCACAATAAGAGGAAAAGACTACACACCACGTCATGTCCAGAACAGTCAACAGATGGTACAATAGCACGTATTCTTTGCTCCTGATGTAACGTACTTAGACCAGGTGAGGTTTTGCTTTTGGAGAAGTTTAGAGATTCCTCTGTATTTATCACTGCATTTGATTCTATCTCCATACACTGCACTACTCGAGTTTCGACCGCTTCAGGTGCGGAGGAGCTACATAAAATAAGTTATTGCAATCTTGAACTAAATGTAATACTTAATATATTTTATATCTGAAAATTGAGGGGGTTGTTACTAGAAACTACAAGTCCCACAGGTTTTGATCTCACTATTTTTTCTATGGTCACTTTGAAACTACAAAGGATGAGCTATAAAGAGTATTTATATTAACATATAATCTAGCTAAGGGAGTTACAGTCTTTACTTAACCGTCTTGATATAAGTCGAAGATTGATAACACAGGCCTGCGAATTTAAAATTCATAAACGTTGTTTTGGTTTTAATAATAGATTTTCCATAATTCAGCTATGCAGAATTCGAAAAATAATATTCGTTTTTTTTTCTATCACATAAGGATTTTTGACAAATTGGGAAGAAAAAAAAAACTCTTACTTAGATCATGTTATTATTTCATTTACCACAATGAAAATTTTTTATTATTATGTTTGTTACCAAAAATACAAACAAAATAAAGAAAAGGGAAGACCACTTAGGTCACACAAATATGCATCCTCATTCATCCTGATTTTTTTTTCTGAAATCTACGTCTTTTAGTCTCAAAACTACGTGTTGTGGTCTTTCTCTTATGTATTGCATTATGATGTTTTGTAAATAATCTTTATGTGATGGAGAAAAATGGATATCATTTTCGGATTCACCATACAGGAATTACTGTAGAACATGTAAAAAGTTCAAGACAATAAAACCATCGTAGGCCTGTGTAATTATAGAAAAAAAACTTTCATGCCTAATAAATAAATTCAGAATTTTATGTAACAAAAATAAATTGTTTTTAATTTATTTCATATCATACTGTAGCCATTCTGTACTTAATCATTATCACAATACACAGAATCTGAGGTAATTTGACAACATACCTCATTAAGATTACGTCCACGATTCTTGATTGCATCTCCTTTATTTCCAAATGAGGTTAATTTGTGTATGTATAAAACACACACACATCGTTTATATTTCAAAGATGCAATAACACACAGAATGGATCTTTTCCAACTAAAAACTAATTAGTTTCGCATACATTTTCAATTTCAAATAAAATACATGCAATTCACTTACACATTGGAAAAACCTATGAGCTCATTCTTACTAGTGAAACAGCAACATATTAGCACACATCTATAGTTATTTGTAGAATAGAGAGATCCATTCTTATTTCTGTCACTACTGAACACATCTGTGCTCATATGCATAGGAAAAATAACTTTTACACTGTTGAACAAAGCTACATGCTCATATACATATATACAAGTCTGTTATGAAAGTAAGTCTCTTACAGAATAACAATAAGTTAGAACTGGCACTGTTTGTCAAACAGTTCTCAGCTCTTCTTAATAGGGGATCCATTTCTTATTTCCATATTATTTTCATTCACTTCAAGAGAACAGAGGGTTATAACTCAATCTAGAAAAAGACTGAAAACAGTTTGTAAGTAACAATGAATTATTAAATTATTTCAGTTTGTAATTTATATTAGCCAATCTTTTTGCATTTCAAATTTCTGTTCTCATATATTTTTTTTTTCTTCCATGTTCCTGAAAGTAAAAAATTGAAAAACTAGTGACAGTAATTACAGAAAATGTATATTGGTTTAAGCATGTGTAAATAACCTAGTCTAATACAAGGTTCTTCATTTAGAAAAGTAAATTAATTAATTTTCAGTAGTTGTTTTAAAATATGAAATGTTAGTTAGATAAAAACTGTCATATATCAATAGTATTGAAACAAGGTAAGACTCAGCTTATTTGGGTTAAAAGAGTGTAACAAAAATTTCTGTTAAGCTCTGGTTTATATAAAAAAGCTCAGAAAAAAAAGCTTCTCTTCAACAACAAATTCTTTCCAAAATGGCAGTGTAATGTTTTGTAACAACTTAAACAATCCCATAGACTATGCTAGTGTGTGTGTGTGTGCATTTACACAAATACACACACACAAAATAAGCTTATTTTTTTATCATTCCAACATTCTACTTGATCATTCATTACTTAGATTTTAAATGAAATCACATTCAAATTCACAGGCATTTTTTTAATTACTTTGTTAATTCTACTGTCAATTCAAAAACACACAAGGTTTAGAGCTAGTTAGGGAAAATGCAGGATTTTTAAAATTATTATTTCCTTCATCATTCTGTATTGCCTGGAGGTGTGATTTAAACAACAACCTGTAGTAGGACAGCAGTAAAAAAAAAAAAACAGAAAAGGAAGCTAATAAGACAGAGAAAAAGATACATTCACGTTTATTTTAAACATTTAAAAAATAAGTTTGTTAATCTTACATCTGTTAATCAGACTGCTTTTGTATTAAAGTATAATGATACCAGCTTTGAGTCTTTAATATACAGCACAAGAACATTAGATATGTGAATAAAATGAAATGAAAAAATTATAAACAAATATTATACCAAAGTTAAAATATAGTAAATAATACAATGCATATTACTGACTATGCTATCTAATGTATTCTTGAGATATATTCTCAAACTTTAGTGACAACAATAATAAGAGCCACTAAAATTACTTGTAAATCATTACATTTTATATTAGGTCATCAAGAAATTAATGTTGCATTTTGGAACACTTTCATTAACCACCCCCCAAAAAACGTACGTCACGTA